GTATTAAGTAGAACAGAAAGGGTAGTAAGTCTGTTCTACTTAATACAGATTAAAGGGTAGTAAGTCACAGATTTTAACTAGAACAGACTTACTACCCTTTAATCTGTATTAACTAGAACAGACTTACTACCCTTTAATCTGTATTAACCAGAACAAAGTGATTAATCTGATTGCACAGCAGCCAAAAGATATTCTAAAAATGGTTCTTTCAGTACTTAACTGTGGGTGTATATTTTAGTTGTTATTTTCAATAAGTTAAATACAGTGGAACAGTGGTTCTCAAACTTTTTTTGCCCAAAGACCAATTCAGTGTGGAAAAAGGCCCCATGGATCACCTACCAGTCCTACCCCATCTATTTTGTTCTCTCACATAGCCTTGGCTGTGGCATTGCACGTCAATGACTTGCATTATAGACCAGCCTGTGGACAACACTTTGAGAACCACTGCAGTAGAAGGTATTTGTAGACTAATTTAAGACTACGGGTCTGGAGTTTGTTTTTCTCACTTTCATCTAGAAATATCAAAACGAGTAGGAAAGCAAATTATGTTAAAACTTTAGTATATTTGGGACTGACATTCATCTCATCTAACAAGTTTTTATAATGAACGATTATTTGAATTTAGGTGAAATTCAAAATTAATATTGTTAGTGTTTTTTTTGTTTTCAAAATTGCCAAAAAAATCAAGTCATTTTTATTCAAATATCTTATTCGTGCTACCAACATAGAAATTCACGAGCACTTTCAACTTAGTAAGTGAATTAAGAATATTCTTTTAGAACATTTGAGTAGACCTTTAACGGCAGGAATTTCTTATTAAAATCTCTACTACGTTGCATTAATTAATGTTAACGAGAGATTACATTGAAAACAGTTTTAAAGTATAACTTTAATGTTTTATGCCCGTAAGTATGTGGCATTGCTATACACACAAGTTTATAAGCTGCTTACGAACCTACATGTACACGTGTGCAGTGTTACCATAGCATGGAGAGTTTACCTTCATCAAACTGAAAATAACTGTAGAACTAATGGAAAACCTTCATCATGATGTAGAGTGTACAGTCACTGATATCACTATAAGAATATTAGATAAAAATGTTATTGTGGAATCAGTTCCACGTACGAGGCTGAGAAATAGTTGTTAGAAGTAATCTAGTTAAACAGTGATAACTTAGTTTTTTATAACACGATAAAGGTTCAGAGTTGGTCTTATTCTTTTTGAGTTTAAACAGGACTTTTATCTTATTAAATATTGTTTGATAATGTAACATTCTGTTACTTGTGTTAAAAATATAGGTATATAATATAACTCTGTGTTTTATACAGCAGGTTTTAGTTTGTGTTCAAATTAGAGTGAACTTTTTGGAAGCATGAGGTTGTGTTATATTTGAGATAATCACAAATTTGTAGATATATATACAGGTTCCTTTAGTGTCTTTTTTTGGAGGGTGTGTCGATTAAATATATATATACACGTATTCCTTTTTGGGGGGAGGGAAATCATTGCAAGAGCCATAAATGAAACTCATCTCACTTGTGGATTAAATATTACACAGCTTTCTAAACTGGCCACCATAGTGAACTACTAACATTCCATCATTTTAAGCCTTTACAAGAAGGATCAAACTTTGTTCTCATCTATGGAAAAACAAACCAGCATTGCTGGAATACTGTGTTTGTCTGTCCCAAATGACTTGCATCTAGTGGTAAATAAAGTGTTATATCATCCACTGCATTACATGACACACACACACACACGTGCATGGAGTAATACTGAGACTATTTGGTTGCTGTACATATTATGTGTGTGGGTGTGATAAATGGTTTATAATATTCATACCTTCAATTAAAGTTTACTCGTACTATGAACGTTATTTTCTTCTGGTTGTAGGAGGCGTGAACATCTACGAAAAGTGTGTAAGTTTGTTACTTCTGCAGTGCTTTTGTTTTATAGTTAAAATTGGAATATATATATATATATATTTGTAGTTTATGATTAAAGCTGAATGTTGATTTCTTTTCCCTCACACTTTAATTCTTTCTGTAGTTTTCTTTATTCACGTAATGAATGACTTGGTTTTTAGCTTTAGAAATGAACATCATTACACTTTAATTCTTTCTGTAGTTTTCTTTATTCACGTAATGAATGACTTGGTTTTTAGCTCTAGAAATGAACATCATTACACTTTAATTCTTTCTGTAGTTTTCTTTATTCACGTAATGAATGACTTGGTTTTTAGCTCTAGAAATGAACATCATTTTATTCCCTCTTGATCACCAACTTCTAAGGTATTACTGCACTTATTCTGCGAATCTTGTACTTTCCTCACCTTTTCTGTGGAAAATATGCACTGCCTAGCACACTGGACTTTAGCATCGTTATATGCACTGTGGGATCACAGGTAGGCCTATTTTGATCACATCAACTTCTTTTTAAATTTTTCGTTTTCTGTTTATGTTATATTAAGACACTTGACATGAAGTTTGACATAAGTTTATAAGTCCTACTAATTTTATTAGTTTTTAAAACAATTAATTACAAAGGACATTTAATGTTGCCTGCTGAATATTTGATGTTCTTTTTTTTTATATTCTTATCAGACTTTGAATTAGAAGAATTCACCAACAAGAATATGCTCAACATCATGAAGAGATGATGAATGTTTCAAACCAAAAAACTATGGTATTCAATCTACTATAAAAAGAAAAAAAAAAGCTATCATATACAGAATACCAAGTTTTGAATTGAGTTCCAAATCTACAAAATATTTTCAGGGTAACTATAAGTTCCTTTTAATCATCTTATGTTAGAATATGGCAGCATTTGTATCATCGTCTTGCTTTCAAACTTCAGCATCAAATGTCGACCTCGAGGACCTCACTTTAAACAAAATGATGACCTGATCCATCAATGCTTTTCATCAAGATCGCAAAGAGGGAAGTCCACCAGACAAGAAAAATCCAATGTATCAACTTTTATCAATTTTCTACACGCCCAGTGCCTTAACATACTACAAATCTTCTGTTTTCATGTCTCCGGAGATACATTTTTCGAAGATGAAGTCCTTTTAAAATCATCAGGAAACACAGAAGCTAAGGACCACCTTCCCATCAAAAAGCTCTCAGAGATAGAACCAGATATAACAACACCAACAATTTTTTCCTCTTGCAAGGAAGATATCAGTTGGGATGATACTGTTGCTGATCTGCACAGTTTGACTGATAAAACACAGCCACATCCATTAACTTCAACACCAAGAAAACCTTTACTCTTGTTGAAACCAGCTGAACAGGTGAATATTATTATTTGTAAGTTTCATTTCTAAGAAAAACGGGTGGGATTAGAGTTTCAAATTATTTAAATTATTTCAAGATCAATTTAAACATTTATTGTGGCGAAGATCTAGAAAACATTAAAAGGTTTATTTTTATCAATAAAATAATTTAAAAAGATGTAAATAAAGGTTTTCACAGAAGTTGCAGAAGAAAAAAAAATCTGTATTTTTCTGTTTATTTGTAGGTATCAGTTGTCTACTACATAAACCTAAATTTGTGTTTGTTTGTTCCCACCTTTACGCCACTGTAATAATAGACCTATAAATATATGGAATCAGCATACTTAGGTTTAATGTCTGTGACGTCACACTTTTAGTGTCAACGAAAACTTTGTAGTCTCATTTTTTCCACAGAAGACAGACCAGATTTTTGATCTGATATAAGTGGAGATGACGTCAGAGACATTTGAGTGTAGTTTATAGAGATGTGTACTGCCATTGTGGTGTCAGAATAAAAATCCATCAAACGCTGTCGTGTCCACTGACAAACAAGACAATTTTTTTTTTACAGAATGGACAAGTTGAACCCTAGAAATTCTGAAAAATAAATTGGTTTTATTCACTTTATTTTGGGAAGGGAGTTAGGTATCTTGTAAGTTTGAGAAGGAAGAATTTTACAGATTGAATCAATCAACTCTAAAACTTAAAAATTTCAAATTTTATTTTTTGAAAGAAACAACTGTTTTAGTTTGATACACTGTCCCAAAATAGACAAAATTCGGTTGTTTAGGGACATCTGTGATCGGAGAAAAAAAAAGATTAATGAGTTTAAAAATAGAATAAATATTTTTAAAACTATCAAATTTCTTAGTTTTTTTGGAGCATCGGAATTTGTGGTTTCAGATTACAAAGTGGAGACACAAATTAGGTTTACATTTTTTAAAGCCTGTTTCGTTTTCTGAACTGAGTGTGATCATTAAAATACTTGACTGGTGTTTTCTTCAAGTGTTTATAATTTAGATTATAAGATAATATGTTAGCCTATGTTAGGATTTATTTAATTAGTTTTCCTGAATAATATTAATATTAGTTAATAATAACAAAAAATAGTTGTATGAATTTTGGGGGGCCCCCCAGTGGCACAGCGGTATTTCTAAGGACTTACAACGCTAGAATCCGGGTTTTGATACCCATGGTGGGCAGAGTAAAGATAGTCCGTTGTGTAGCTTTGTGCTTAATTACAAACAAACAATATATTTTGGGAAATATTAGTTCAGTGTAAATTTATTATGTAATTACGTCAGTTCGGTGACTGTTATATATTTCAAACAAGCCACTAGTGGCCAGTAGAAATACTTACTCTTACATGTTTTGTATTGAAACACATTAAATATTTTCTTGGAAGAAGAGACAATTAGAAACTATTTTCCAATGCAGGGTATGAATAATTTTTTAGCACTTTTTTTTTTATCTTCCTCTCTGCATATTTGAGTGGTGCCCTCTGTTATCATAAAGTGCCTAAAGTCCTGTAATTAGTTATTAAAAACTGAATCCTATACTGGTACACTATCTGATTTACAAGTTAAGTGTCACATTCTTGTAACATTTGATGATTAAAAATTACTGGAAATGTGTCACAATTTAAATTTGTGGTTATTCTTTGATTATCAGTAACCACTAATAGCCCAGTTATTGTCAAATTTTATCATCAACATTGGTGTCGAATACGATTTTAATGGATATTTAAATAATGTATGCTAGAAGAGATGATTGTTTATTACTTGTGATGAGTATATATTAGAGCAGTGAACTCATGAAATACTCCCGTTATTCTTCTAAGTTACTCAAACATTTGGGTAATGAAATGACACGTGGATTTGAACCGATGTTCGTCGCTGTTAACCATTTTCACATGACTGCCATTATTAAATACTACCTAATGATATTCTTCCTCTCTTGCTTGACAGGTTAGGTGAGATTTAAAAGAAAAAAAAATAAATTAACCTTGTGGTCAGAAACGCGTGACAATGAGGTAGTAAAGACTTTTTACCGTCACGGTATTCATAAACCGCATTGTACACCGCAGCATGGGAGTGGCATTACTAGGGTTACTGAGTACACACGGTAACAGACTCGACTTGTCTGATAGGTGGAACCTTCGAAACCTAACTTTGTGGCTTAGCAAGTATAAAGATTGGCGAGTGATATGAAAGCTAAGACTGTCGATTAGATTTCTAATTGTTCAATTTTCATTTATTTGCTGACTTTGTCCCCTCCCCCTCTTAATGGCTCGGTGGTAAGTCTGAAGGCTTATAACTCTAAAAACCGGGTTTTAATAATCGTTAGATAGTCCACCGTGTAGCTTTCTGTTCGGAAACTAATAAATTTATTAATTTATGTGTTGAAAACAATGAATAACGTCGACGTGGGGACCATTCAAGTATCTATCAGCCTTTTTATTTTTGTGAGTTTATAACTTTAATATTTAGTCGTATGTTGTAATTAATTCTTACATTGCCGTACATAGTAATTAATTCTTACATTGCCGTACGTAGTAATTAATTCTGACATTGCCGTACGTAGTAATTAATTCTGACATTGCCGTACGTAGTAATTAATTCTGACATTGCCGAACATAGTAATTCATTCTGACATTGCCGTACATAGTAATTAATTCGGACATTGCCGTACGTAGTAATTCATTCTGACATTGCCGTACATAGTAATTAATTCTGACATTGCCGTACATAGTAATTCATTCTTACATTGCCGTACATAGTAATTAATTCTGACATTGCCGTACATAGTAATTCATTCTTACATTGCCGTACGTAGTAATTAATTCTGACATTGCCGTACATAGTAATTCATTCTGACATTGCCGTACATAGTAATCAATTCTGACATTGCCGTACATAGTAATGAATTCTGACATTGCCGTACATAGTAATTAATTCTTACATTGCCGTACATAGTAATCAATTCTGACATTGCCGTACATAGTAATTAATTCTTACATTGCCGTACGTAGTAATTCATTCTGACATTGCCGTACATAGTACTGAGTAGCGACATGATGTCTGTAGTAAAGAATTATCCTCTAAGGCATTATGGGAAAGGTCTTTGTAGCTAATATTTTTAGCCGCGAGATAATAACGGCGCTGATTTTTTTTCTTTCAAGTACAAACGTTTAGCTCATAGGTCCGTCATCTCTTGACCGATCTGAGAGCTAATTACAGTTTTGGACTCAGGAGGTCAAACCGTTTCGACTGATGTATTTGACCACGTCCAAGATCTCATAGATTAATTTACTCTAATCCTGCTTAAAATAATTTCAAGTGCTGCGGCTATTGAAGATACCCTCTTGTTTTGTGTTGTTTCTGTTTAAATGTTGTGTGATACGATATCGTTTTTCACTTACCCGTTTAAAGATGTTCCATATTTTACCTGATTTATGTTAAGTTATAAATGTCTTGTTTTGTATAGATTAAAGCTAGCCAGAAAAGGGCCGTCATCTTGGCCAGAGAAGGAAGGATGCATCTGACCACTTCGAAGGTCCACGTTTTGGAGGGGCGCCAGCGTTTGGAAGAGTTCAAGAATGATATGTTAAACGTCAGATCCAGTATATGCGCAGCACGTCATTTGTTCTCCCTGGTGGAGAGAGAAATTAAGAATTACAGATGTGAGTCAGTAGACAGAGAATGTTGGAATCGTTTCTTGACATCGAACTCTCGAACCGCAAGGCCCTACAATCCACAAACAAAGTTGTATCGTGAACATCGAATCTTCATAGAAGAAATAAAGTATCATTTCAAGTGGCGATACGGGATTGTTTGGTGACGTCACCTTCCAGAAGTTGTTTGTTCGTCTTAACGACATAGCCAAGTTTTGTGTTAAGTTGATAAGGGGGAAATATGTCTAGAGGCTGTAGTCTTGTGTTTGATCAACTTTTAATTTTTTTTTCTCCCAATTATAAAACATCTGGCATGTTTCCCATGTGTTAGTTATTGAAGCCCTAATTGAGTTGAATTTTTTCCAGTATCTTCTTTAATATTTTCATTTATGTTCAATGTTAAACATTTATCTTTCCAGTATGGGAATGTAGGCTTGTTCTTCGACCTCATCAGTCAGTTCTTCTGCTTGCTTTGTTCCTCCTCTAACACATCAACCAGCTTTTCAGTTCAGTTTGTTCCTCCTCTGATACATCAGTCAGTTCTTTAGCTTGGTTTGTTCCTCCTCTGACACATCAGTCAGTTCTTTTGTTTGGCTTGTTCCTCCTCTGACACATCAACCAGCTTTTCAGTTCAGTTTGTTCCTCCTCAGACACATCAGTAGTTCTTTAGCTTGGTTTGTTCCTCCTCTGACACATCAGTCAGTTCTTCTGCTTGCTTTGTTCCTCCTCTAACACATCAACCAGCTTTTCAGTTTAGTTTGTTCCTCCTCTGACACATCAACCAGCATTTCAGTTCAGTTTGTTCCTTCTCTAACACATCAGTCAGTTCTTTAGCTTGGTTTGTTCCTCCTCTGACACATCAACCAGCTTTTCAGTTTAGTTTGTTCCTTCTCTAACACATCAGTCAGTTCTTTAGCTTGGTTTGTTCCTCCTCTGACACATCAATCAGTTCTTCTGCTTGCTTTGTTCCTCCTCTAACACATCAACCAGCTTTTCAGTTTAGTTTGTTCCTTCTCTAACACATCAGTCAGTTCTTCTGCTTGCTTTGTTCCTCCTCTAACACATCAACCAGCTTTTCAGTTTAGTTTGTTCCTCCTCTGACACATCAGTCAGTTCTTCTGCTTGCTTTGTTCCTCCTCTAACACATCAACCAGCTTTTCAGTTTAGTTTGTTCCTTCTCTAACACATCAGTCAGTTCTTCATCTTGGTTTGCTCCTCCTATAACTCATCATTTAATTCTTCTGCTTGATTTGTTCCTCCTCTAAATCATCAGTCAGTTCTTCTGCTTGGTTTGTTCCTTCTCTCCAAGTCATCGGTCAGTTCTTCTGCTTGGTTTGTTCCTTCTCACCAAGTCATCGGTCAGTTCTTCTGCTTGGTTTGTTCCTTCTCTCCAAGTCATCGGTCAGTTCTTCTGCTTGGTTTGTTTCTTCTCTCCAAGTCATTGGTCAGTTCCTCTGTGGTATAACAATAAAATATTGATGATAAAATTAAGGACTTCAGATTAATTTGTTTTTATGATGTGTTTGGCCAAAACCCTTCAGAGAGGCTTTGTCTGAAAGGTTGTATCGAAAAGATCCCAATTCTGTCGTTCAGATTTTAAATTATAGTTCGTCATATCTTAAGCTAAGAATGCTACTGTGAAATATAATGTTTTTGTACGCAGATTTTTAGAAAGTATGGCATAGAATTGAAAAGAGCTGAAGCATTACTGTTATCAACAAGATCAAAGTAATTTATGTGTGTGTCTTAAGTTGGAAGCTGATAAGTGGCCCTGTCTGTCCTTGTGTCTGTTCGTCTAATCCCATTTCTCTCTCACGTGTTTATAATCTTGTTTTAGCCTTTCCATGATTTTGGTCTCCCACACTGCTCCTTGATGTGTCATATGCATCTTATTTCTCGAACACGTGTTTGTTGGTCTGACATGGTTTGAGTGTAATAAAGAATTATTAATTTCAAAGTGGTTCCTCGTCATCGAATTTGAATAGTTTGAGTGGGCGTTAATCTAACTGTAGCAAACCCCCACCGCCAACAAACAAGGAAACTAGGACTACAAATGACACAACGAATCCTTCTTCATGATGCAACTCTCTCACTGCTACGTGCGTATGTTTATATGGGACACACTAAAACATTCGTATTTAGTATTGAGAACTGTGATATTAACCGTATGTGAATTTGGAATTTTGTAGTGCCGAACTTTACAGGTTTTGACAAGTAATGACATGTTGAAACATGTTCTTCGATTTTTATTATGCATAAGCCTGGTTTTGTGATAGTCATATATACACGTGGCATTATGATGGAATTCTATAAACCTGGCTTTGTGATAGTCATATATACACGTGGCATTATGATGGAATTCTATAAACCTGGCTTTGTGATAGTCATATATATACACGTGGCATTATGCTGGAATTCTATAAACCTGGCTTTGTGATAGTTATATATACACGTGGCATTATGCTGTAATTCTATAAACCTGGCTTTGTGATAGTCATATATACACGTGGCATTATGCTGGAATTCTATAAACCTGGCTTTGTGATAGTCATATATACTTTATAGAATTCCAGCATAATGCCACGCCTGGCTTTGTGATAGTCATATATACACGTGGCATTATGCTGGAATTCTCAACGATTTGCGTAGTTATTGATAGTAAGAACTGCCTTTCCACCCCACCCCCTCGTGCGTCAGCGATAAGTTACCACTTACAACGTTAACATTCGGTGTTCGATTCCCCTTGGTGGACAGAGCACAGATAGCCTATTTTGTAATTTTGCGCCGAAACAACAACAGTAATAACGACTGCTGTATGTCTTCTGTTATTTGCACGTCTTTGGTCAAGGTTTTTCAGTTTTTATTATCATCTTCATGTATACATATAAAGGCAATTTTCGGAACTTCAGTCGCATATATTAGGCCCGGCATGGCCAGATGGTTAGGGCACTCGACTCGCAATCTGAGGGTCGCGGGTTCGAAACCCCGTACCACCAAACATGCTTTTGGTTTTTCACGCTAAAAATCGAGTTTTAATACCCACTGTATGCAGAACACTAACAGCTTTGCGCTTAACAACAAACAACCCAATTTTCTTAGCACCCATTTTCACCCTGTTAGGACAACTAGGCCTAATAATGCTCTAAAATAACCTATGCTCTTCATCCACGTTAGGACAACTAGGCTTAACGTAACCCTAAAATAACTCACTTTCACCATGCGTGATCCCCTCTGTGTAGTGTAAATTGTCTAACGATTTGTCATTAGACTTACTGGAAAATTGTACTGTAACACAACGTGTTTGATTGAAATAGATCGCCGTGGCTTGGATGTTTTATTTTTTTAACAAAGAAAGTCTTAACGTTTGAGAGAGCGTTTAGGCCTTCCGTTAGTGGAAGTTCTTTGTGTATTAACTATATGATCACTATAGTTACGCTAACACTTGAAATAATGTTATTTAAACTTAATACTTTATTTCTGAGTCAAGTATTAATGTTTATAGAACAAAAACAACTGTCAGGTTTCCTATTACTGTTAACACCGGAACCATATAAAGCATAAAACGTACATTGTTTTGAGATATGTCACGTTTTGGATAAAGCCTAAAACTTGTTTTGGATTGAGTTATCTCGAGTTTTGTAACTATATAAAGCCCAAAACTTATATTGGATTCAGTTATCTCGACTTTTGGATTGAGTTATCTCGAGTTTTGGAACTATATAAAGCCCAAAGCTTGTTTTGGGTTGAGTTGTTTGAAGTT